GTGTGCCTTGATGGTTGCAGGAACTGCTGCATTGCTTCCGAAGCAGGAGAAGGTTTTGGTTGCCAACGTCCCTTTCCTCTTTCAACTCCGATTCAAAGAGGATGCAGGTTCGCACCCGGTCGTGCTGCTTGCGGGCAGAGTCATTGACGCCAAGGCTGCGCAGTGACCAACTTCCAGCTGCAGCTGCAGCGCCAACAACAGACCGCCGCTGCTGTGCCAAAGGCAACCGCGACGAAGTGATGTGGCAACAGTAGCATAGTGCTGTAGCAGCAACGGCAGCTTGCTGCTACTGCACCTGTAGCAGCATTGGCGGCAGCGGGGAGTTCACTTACCCGCCTGACATTGAAACTGGCTTCATGTACGGTTTCTTTTCGCGCACTTGTGTGTTTTCTTCCTGTTTCCATGTTTATTGTGTTCATCGCCTTCTTATGCAACTTTCCTGTCTTCACCCTTGCCCACACTGCTGTAGTGACTAGTCCTGCCGATCTACGTTTTGGGGTTTCGAAGGTTCAGGGTTTACAGGGGTTTAGGCTTTAGGATTACCGTAAATCCTAGGACCCCTAGAACCACGGTGGCGTGTGGAGACGTCCCCCATCCCAAAGAGATACTGCTTTAACCTGGGACGGCTACCTAGTCGCCCAGCAGCCTACTAATACTGCTCCATACAAGGGAGACTATGTCTCCATAAAGCAAACACTCGTACAATCATCTGTCGCGCAACCGTCACTTAGCTGGCTTCTTTCCACATATTCTTAATTCCTCTTACGACAGGCATTTCTACAGATGAGCATGCACGAATGTATGCGTCTTTTGTGAGTGGACATGAAAGAGTAAATCCTATTTTCAAGGAAATAAATCTGGGGGTTTGCGCGCTCTTGCATTATCGTATCTGCCTCCTCATTGGTGCAAGGAAAGTTAAGAGGAGCGGTCAGAAGACAAAGACAGACAACAAGGAAAAATACTTCCGATAGGAACTCCCTTAACCCCTAAGCGTTCAGGGATTAGGGTTTAGGGTTGGGAAGGCACGACATATCTTGGCAGGAAATAGGCTAGATAGCACGTCAAGAAGAAATAGCTTTTCCATTAAAGCAGCGTTTGGGGTTTAGCTTCGCGATTCAGACCTCTTCGTCAGAATCGTCATCAAAACGTCTCCGCCTGATCTGTGGCAGCGAAAACACCACAGCAGCCGATGCCTCGGCTTCGCTGTATGCAACTTTTTCTTGCCCAGTTGCCCTTCCTTGCCGGTTTCTTCGTCGAATGCCTCCATCTTTCTCTGTGTCCCTATTTGCACTGCCTTGCCCCCGTATATCTGCCTTCTTCCGGGTGTGTGTGCCTACTACGCCGATCGTATTGACATATATGCATGCATTAATAATGTGTGGTGTCCCTGTGAGTGGCTCTGTGTCTCCGCTTGCACAGCATTATGCGCATATACAACTAATACATGCATGAATGTGCGTATGAGGATATGTGTATACGTGCGCGTATCGTCGGGTGTTGCTCAGGTGAGTGTATTTACCACGACTTTTGAGGAGTTGTTGGTTTGCTTGGCGTCTCCCTCCGAAATTTGTTTTAATATTTCCACCAAAGCAGAGTCTCCCACTGGCGGCACGAGGGAGCCAGTGCGCGCTGCCTGCACTCGAAGAAAACAAATATATTCATCCCGCTTTTGCTTTGATGTACTCACGCATTCATATACAAGCAAATACTACAGTCGCCCACTACATATGCGTTAAACAAATTTGTCCCCTTCTTCTTTCGAAATACTCAAATCGAAGAATAATACATCGGTGAGTACAATACTGATTGGTATATATATAATATATATACCTACTTACAGACATTTATGTATTTATCTATATGCAGACACACGTAGGATTGTACACACCAGCTAAGAATAAACGTAGGCAAACCAGCCAAAGTTTTTACTTCCCACAAACATTCATTATTATTATTAACATGTCTTCAAATAGAACACCGTTCGCTTGGACCTGCTGTTCAACCCACATACCTGCATGATGTAATTTTCGGCGGCAATCGCATTTTGTGGTTTGACCAGGTGGATCCGCGCGACTGCAGACGGAGAAGAAATGAAAAACTCATCGCTTTAAATGCTATATTTATCTCACATCAGCTCTTTTTGATAATCCTGACCTTCAGCTTCCTCTAACTAAACCCTTGGTGGTTGCAAGCCCCAATTCAATTTCCCGTGCTCCCACATTTCCCTCCCCTTTTGCAGCGCAAGTCCCTTGATTGTTCTTTTGCGTCTCTGCATTATCTCCCCCTCTCTTTTATGGCTCTGTCCTGCCTTTGCCTTCGCTACCCTTAACCCCAAACCCTACACCCTATACCCTCCAACGTACGGCGTTCGTGCGCTTCGGGCGAAAGCAGGGACCTCATTGCCATCCTTCTCTGCTCCTCGACTGCCCTGAATAACCAAAGTTAAACATTACGCGATAAACCGTAAAGCCAAAGCCGCCTTCATTTTGGCACAGACGGTAGTCAGGCGCAAGTTTAGGAGCAGTGAGTACCCACTTGCGCTTCTCTTCTTGCTGCTGCTGCTGTTGCATCTGCTGCTGCAGATGCTTCTGGACGTTCGGGTCTGCCGGATCCATTTTTCCCGCTGTTGTTGTCCTTGCTGTTGCTGCTGTAGAGAGCTTCAAGCCCTTGCACCCTGCTGCAGTTGTCGCGCTTCGGTTGCTGGGTGACTTCTGTTAAGGCGTAGAGGCAGCTTTAGTGGGAGTTTATAAACGAGTGTTGCTTTTCCAAATACGCTAAACATAAACGAAAACGACTTCAAACACTCTGAGAGGAAAACACAGGAGACATTGCTCAGTCCCCAGTTGTTTCGCAACGCAGCTGATGGGCACGCCACTGCGGCGTTCTACTCCTCAGTTGTATTTTTAATGCTGCTTCGAACTAACGAATGAAACGAAAATACAACAAATTAACCCACAACCTTTTACACCAAACCGATGCAGTCCCTCCGCTTGCCTAGGGGGCCCTAGGCACTTCGCAGGGGGGCCCAAGGCCCTATTCCCTGATGCTGCAACAGGTGGAATAACTTCACAACTGTGCTGAAACAGCTCTTGAATTTAACTTCATTGTCAAATATACCTGCAAACGAAATGAATACAACCAGCAATCCTTCGTAACGCCGGCACCTTCTTCCTCTATTTCCAGCTGCTTGCACGCCGTAGTACCACCGCAGCTTGCGCAAACATGGGAACCCCCATCTCACTTGTGCCCTTTTGGGTTTCTCTCCTCTTAGCGCTCAGTATATCGGCTGGGGGTCCTCACTTGGGCGCTAAGGCGCAGGGGCCCCTGGGAGGGGCCCATGAGGGGCCCCCGGGGGAGGCACCCGTTGAAATCGCCTACGAAGTAGCAACGGCATCGAAAGAAGATGCATTGAAACCTTCGCGTGCAGATCAGGGACATCACTGGTGCAGAGCACTGGATTTACACAGTGCCTATGGCGCCTGCAGCAGTAGCAATGGCAGCAGCGACAGCAGCAGCGTGTTTCCAGTGTCCCTGGACGACGGCTGTTTTGGCGTAGTTCTTCTGCTGCTGCTACTGCTAGCAGCAGACCAGGCCGAGCGGCCGCTGCGAAAGTTTTGGGGCCCTTTATCTTCACTGGCCAAGCGCATGCGGCGCAGCAGCAGCAGCAATAGCAACGGAAATAACATCAACCGGTTTGCTGTTGCTGCGAGGACGGAAGAGGGGAAAAGACTGCTCGGTGAGTTGGCATCTTTGCAGCAGCTGCTGCTGCAGGAGCAGATGCAGCAAAAGGAGCTGTCTGCCACGGAGGAGTTTGCTGCATATGCTCGAAAGCAGCGCAAAATAGATCAGCTTGTTTCCTCCAGGGACGCATGCATGCAGAAACTGCAACAACTTCAGCAGCAGCAGGGGCCCCAACAGCAGCGTAGTAGAAAAGAGGTGCTGCTGCTGTTGCGAGCTGCCAATCAGTTACTTCTCAAGCCCCTCTTCAAGCGCCATGGCTGCGCTGTCGCAAAGGTAAGGCTCAGCTTCCCGCTGCAGAAGGTGGAGCAGCAGAAGCAGCTATTAATAGCAGCAGCAGCAATAAGAGTGTGAAGAGCCACGGCGCCAGGAGCTGGGGCAGCAGAAGTTTCACCAGCCGCACATATGCCAACAGCAGCGCCAAGTGGAGCAACAACTGGAGCAACTGCAGGGGTTCCAGCAGTTACGAGTCGGTGCATGCAATGTGGAGTGTCTTGTCTGCAGCCATTCGTTTGCTGGGGATTATTTGCTGCAATGGGGGCTCGAATTATCCTACCAACCGCCCAGCTCACCCCTCTCAATCGTAATCCTGCCCCCTACATCCCAAAACCCTATACCCTTATCCTAATCCCAAATTCTCTGTCCCCTTCGTCCAAATTTCAGTATGCTCCTGGTGCTCTGCTTGCTACAGAGTTAATTTAAGGGCTTTGCGCTGCAGGGTAGGATTTAGGACCGAGGGTCTAAGGCTTGGTGTGTGCGCAGTATTGGGGCCTCATTGCCAAGTTACTTTCCCGTTTGCCTTTATGATATGCCGGCTTTTTCTAAACGAGATGTACAGGCACGTCGATTTCCTCAGCGGCCAGAGCTCGGCCAGGAGCACTGCAAAAGCAGACTGAGAAACTTGCGCCCACAGCTGCAGGAAGAACAGCAACAGCACCAGCATTAGTAATAAAAACAGGAACGGCAGCTGCCGAGCTACAGCTGATGCAGCAGCAGCGGCACTTAAGGCAGGCTGCACCTCCCATAGCAGCAGCACCAGTTGTTGCAGCTATCTCTACCTCAGACACTTTATGGGAATGGCTTGGCCTGTCTACCTGAGGTTCTGCTCTGAAGCACGTTTTATTCTCCGTGAAATCTCAAAGCAGCAACTGCAGTCGGGAATGGCTCTGCGTAGTAGCAGGATACACCAGAAGCAGACGCGTTTGTATATGCGTTGATTTCTGGGGTTCTAGTA